TATATATATACATATATAAAAATATATGTAATTATAAATATTTAAATAAAATGAAAATAAATAATAATAATAAATAAAGTTAAGTAATTACTTATGTTTTTAATGTTTGTTTATTTCCGAGAGAGAGGGAGAGAGCAAGACAGGGAAGGGCAGAGAGGGAGGGGGGCAGACAACCTGAAGGAGGCTCTGAGCCGACAGCAGAAAACCTGATGCAGCCCTTGAACTCATGAACTGTGAGATCATGAACTGTGAGTTCAGTACCTTGAACTCATGAACTGTGCAGCCCATGAACTCATGAACCGAAGTCAGATGCTTAACTGACTGAACCACTCAAGCGCCCCTAAACTGAATGTAGTTTTGAAAAAAAATTTTTAAGTTTATTTATTTATTTTTGAGGGAGAGACAGAGAGAGTGACTGGGGAAGGGGCAGAGAGCAAGGGAGAGAGAGAGTCCCAAGGAGGCTCTACGCTGTCAGCATGGAGCCCGATGTGGGGTTCGAACCCACAAACTGCGAGATCGTGACCTGAGCCGAAACCAAGAGTCAGACGCTTTACCCACTGAACCACTCAAGAGCCTCCCTAAACTGAATGTACTTTTGACACGACTCCTGAACAGTGACATTCTCAACCTTATACTTCTTGGACTCGATGAAGAGACCTAAAAAATGCTAATGCTTGGCCCCCCAACCCAAAAGCTAACATTCAGCCCAGACCACCAGTGTCTCAATGAGCTGCTTTTAACTTTTAAGTATTTTATTGTCTTAACTGACTTATTTTTTCCAATTCAATAACTAACATATTTTCGTTGTTCAAAAACCAAATAGAGGGGCGCCTGGGTGGCTCAGTCATTTAGGCATTCCGACTTCGCTCAGGTCATGATCTCGTGGTTCGCGATTTTGAGCCCCACGTCAGGCTCTGTGCTGACAGCTCAGAGCCTGGAACCTGCTTCCAATTCTGTGTCTCCTTCTCTCTCTGCCCCTCCCCCACTCATGTTGTCTCTGTCTCAAAAATAAACACTAAACAAAAAAAAAAAAATGAAAAAAAAACCCAAACCAAATAGATATTAGAGGGTACGCATTGCCATGGCTGAGTGTTAGTCTCTTTATTTCCTCCTAAGCCCCTTGCTTATTTTTTTAAATTCTCATGATTATTTATGTATTTTGATAGACAGAGACAAAAAGAGAGCTCACGTGTGCGCGCGCACATGGGGGAGGGGCAGAGGGAAAGAGACAGAAAATCCCAAGCAGGCTCCGCCCTGTCAGCTCAGAGCCCTGCGTGGGGCTTGAACCCACGAACCATGAGATCGTGACTTCAGCTGAAATCAAGAGTCGGCCGCTTCACCAAATGAGCCACCCGGGCACCCTTGCCCCTTGCTTATTTTCATAAATAAAGTTTTATTAGTGCACGGCCACATCCCTTCATTCACATTTTATCCGAGGCTGCCTGACCCTGGAGTGCCAGAGCTGAGCAGTCACAACCGAAATTCTTCAGCCGGCAAAACCAAAAATATTTACTCAGTGGCCCTCTACGGGAAACCTTGGCCGACCTCTTATCCAATGCCGATCACCTCATTTTACCAACGCAGGACTGAGGCTTGACATCTTTCTGGGATTTTCCCAAACTCTGGCCGCTGGACCAGCTACCTCAGAATCCCTGAGACCGCGGCTGGCCTGGGAATCTGCATTTAACAAGCGATCTGGGTGGTTCTCCCTCTAGACTTCAAGGAGCAACTGCTGGGTAGCGTGTTTCCTCTCTTCGTGCCTCAAACTGGCACCGTCTCAGATTCGAAACTTCCCACGTTCGTAAGCAAAGGAAAGACGGCTTGGGTTCTCTGTGCTTTTTATTCTTGTTTTTCAATTCCTCTCCATTTTTACGTAAAGCCATAGACACGCTGCGACGCACGTCCCTTCCCGGTGCGCCTTGTTCCTTCCTAACCGTGCCTTTGTGTCTTGCCCGGGCCCCACAGCCACCCATCGTGCCCAAGCTGTGCGGCGAGGGCGATACCTCCAACTTCGAAGCGTACCCCGACAATGACTGGAACGCGGCCCCTCCCGTCTCGCCGAAGGATTTGGAAGTCTTCAAGAATTTCTGAGGACGCGAATCCACACGTGGAAGGTATGTCTTCTTCTCCGTAATTGCACTCCAGTGAGGTTGACACGTCCCTCATCAAGGGGATGTTGCGTCGACCAAGACAGGGGCTTCCCTCATCCAGTGGGACACGAGCGGGGGAGCAGAACATGACCTAGTCCTTCCAAGCATCAGCTTGTTTAAGAAGCATTCCCCCACCCCCGGCCCCCCGGGGCATGTTACTCAAGGTTACTCAAGGTGTCACCCTTGAGCCCTGCAAGGTGTGTGCGTGCCCGAATGTAGAGATGCATGCCTCCTTTCGTAAAACTCCCTGCGTTCTCGACTTTTCTGGAAGCCCTGAGCTCCACACCACCTTCCCCGTAACACTTACCACGTATTTCCAAAAAGGTATTTTTTTTTTAGGTCCCTTTTCACCAAAAAGTGATCATACTAGCTTACCCCTCGTATGAAATTGGCTAAGCTCAGTGTGACATTTAGAAGGATGGGTTTTGAGTCTGTCATGTCTTGGAACCTGCGAAGGTCTCTGACTCTGTGTCTGTGGAATGTCTGAGTTTATGGCTTTGCTTCTCACGTCAAGGCAAGAAAAATGATGTGAAGGAAGAGAGGCGACATATTGCCAGCGATATGCCTATGTGTTGACTTTCCTTGATTTTCATATTTTTTTTTAAGTTTATTTATTCTGAGACACAGAGAGAGAGAGAGAGAGAGAGAGAGAGAGAAAACATAAGCAGAGGCAGAGGCAGAAGAGCAGGCGAATCCCAGGTAGGGTGCGAGCTGACAGTGTAGAGCCCGATGTGGGGCTTGATCCCTGAGATCGTGACCTGAGCCGAAATCAACAATCGGACACTTGACTGACTGAGCCATTCGGGCGCCCCAACATTTTAATCTGTCTCTGTCATTTTGGACACGGGGCGGAACAGAGATTCGGCATTTTCCGCGCTCAGTCATCAGGGGTGAGTCTCTGTGCAGGAAGGTATTTCTTTGGGAGACAAAATGGTCTGCCACGGATGAGAGGCAGGTTCAGGGTGAATACTGCCCTCCAGAGCTAACTGATAACTGTATGTCTTAACTGTTCATCTTTGCGAGTTCCTTCTCCATGTTTTTTAGCCCAAGGAAGACGATGTTAGGACAGCTGGAAGGGAGATACCTCACACTTGAGCTTTTATTTGACCTCAGAATAAAATGTGTTCTGTCTAACTGGAAGGTTCTATGGTGAAGCCCATCAAGACAGGATCGAGATTTGCTTGTGAAATCCATGTGATCTATATGCATGACACCATCATATCACATTTGAGACCCACCTGTAAAAGAATGCTTAGTTTGGGGGCACCCGGGGGGCTCAGTCGGTTCAGCGTCTGACTTTAGCTCAGGTCATGATCTCACCGCTTGTGGGTTCAAGCCCCGCGTCGGGCTCTATGCTGACAGCTCGGAGCCTGGAGCCTGCTTCGGATTCTGTGTCTCTCTCTCTCTCTGCCCCTCCTTCTCTCACGCTCTCTCTTTCTCTCTCTCTCTCAAAAATAAATAGACAGTAAACAATTTTTTTATAAAAAGACTGCTTAGTTTTGTTGTGTTTTGTTTTATTAAGCATCTCACACCCCTTACAATCCCTGCTTGTGGATGTTTGGAATAAGAATTTCATTGAAAAAGTTTCCTCCTGTGTGTGCGTATCGTTGAGTTCCTTTTGAGTTATTGTTGTTATTACAAAATTGACCCCGTTATTTTGCAAACTAACCAAATCCTTTATCTTGTCTCCTGGGAGAAACAGGACGATTTGAACCTGCCGGGGACACTGATTGCTCAGAAGAAGGGTCGTCTACGTGGGATAAGGACGTTTCCGTATTTCTATATATCTGGATGTATATAAAGAGCCTGGAGACCCGTAGAAAGTCATGGACCTGGCCTTATTTAAACAACTGGAAATCTACTGCACAGTAGGAACTTTTGGAAAATTGTTTGGTTGTAGATTTTGTCTTCTCTCTTAGTGCGATGAACCTACTGTGATATCTCAGTTTTCCTCCCAGACTTCACTTTATAAGTTTGAACTCAACGTGTTCCGCCGTCACCACAGATGGCGTGCGTGTGCGTGTGTGTGCGTGTGTAAAAAGACTGTATGAGTGGCGTGCAAATCGTGCGTTGATGTCCATGTTCGTACTTGGCACAGCCTGTGATTTTTATTTTTCGAGTCGCTCTTTCAAGAATCTGTTTCCTTGGGGACGAAACCTAAAACGGATACGGTGTGTGCATTTTGTGTCGTCTTCTGTGCATTTCGTAGGTTGTGAAGAAAATTTCGTGTGGTGGGTCCGCGTCTCGTCTTTAGTGCGTCATACCTGGTGACGTTAGCTCTTGAAACCAGAAGGGCAGAGACACATCTAGCAACACGGTGAAAAGGCAGATGTGGAGTGGTCCACGCTGAGGGTGTTGCTAGATGTGGTTCTTCCCAGGACACGGGACGTGCAAAGACGTCCTCGGGGTCCGTGCTGTCCGTGATCCATGACCTTCTGCCCTGTGTTTCCGCTTCCGGATTCTGAACTTTGCTGTACAGACCTCATGGGATTGCCCGCTCCCCCCTGGCTGTGAGTGCTCTGGAAACGCAGAGCTCCTCACCTCTGTCCGTGTGACTGGTCGTAGGGCTCAACCAGGACCTTCTGCTGCAGGGATGTCGGTGCACTTAACTAGTAGGTTCCAGAGCCTAGGGCGACGCCAGAGGACACCTCCACAGACATCCAAGACCCCTCTGTACCCTTCCTTTCTTCCCGTGCTCGCCTGGAAACATCCGTGTCCTCGGGCAGCCAGGAGGGGGGCTGTGCATACCCTGGGAGGTGTGTTGGAGGATGTGGGTGTGGGGCGAGGGTCGCCTGAGGACCCTCTCAAGGTTTCTGCAGCTCAGGTCTTCTTGAGTCACCTGCTGGGTCTGCACCATCAGAGACACTTTTCTAGTGCTGCGCTTGCGAAAGCCTTTCCTGTGCATGGAACCACTCTTCTCATTTTTTTTTGAATGTTTATTTATTTTTGAGAGATCAAGTGTGAGCGGGTAGGGGCAGAGAGGGGGAGACAGAAGGAGGCTCCAGGCTCCAGGCTCCAGGCTGAGCTGTCAGCACAGAGCCTGATGTGGAGCTCGAACCCACGAACCGTGGGATCATGACCTGAACCGAATTGGGACGCTTAGCCGACTGAGCCACCCAGGTGCCCCCTCCGACCCCTTCTACAGCTACATCTACGGGTGTAACGACCTGCCCTGTGGGGAAGTCAGGCATTTTTCTGAAGCAGCAAAGTGTCAGAGGCCATGCAGTGGTCTCACGCCCAGGAGTCCGGGGCTGTTGGTACTTGAATGTAGAGTGAACAGCACATAAAAAAGCTTTTAAAAGACCGTGAAATTCAAGGCGTCCAGCGTGTCCCCCTTTCCCGTAAATGACCTGCTCTTCAGGTAGACCTCCGATGAGAAGGTCAGAGTGAGTACAAGATTTAGCAAAATAAACTCTTTATAATGACGAACTCGACAGTTCTTTTCAAAGGGTGTTTCAAAGTGGTGCTTTCAGTCTGTGCTGAGCGATCCCCGTCCTATTTGGACAAAGGAGAGGGTCCAGAATGGGCCCCACATCCAGTGGATTCGAAACTATTTCACCATCGAATGTTCCAAAACGGAATCAACAAAGTCACTTTGTACGCTCCGATATAAACCCCCAAGGGAGAGCAGAGATCTCGCCTTCTCTGACGTATAAAAATAAGTTATTATTATTATTATTTTGGAGCTTTGTGCTTAAGAGAAATAAAAATAAATGAAACACCTTTCTTGAACACGATGAAACATTGTGCGGAGATACATGGACCCATACGCCTATTTTGGGGTTTCGTGCTCACCGTCCCGGATTTAATATCTGGCATGACAATTGCATCAAGGTAGCACGGAACGCATCGCCTTAGTTTTGGACACAAAAACGACCCAACGTTGGAACGCTTGGATCACACAGTTCTTTAAAAACATTGTCATCCGCCATCAGCCATGCAAAACAAATTAAAAATTAAAAGGAATTCCAAGAATACCAGATGGTGTTAAGCTCAGTCTTGCCATTTCAATATTCCAAGTGGCACAAGCCATGTGTTAACTGCCCGTGGCTGGGCTGTAAATGAAGCAGGGTGATGTCATACAGACACTGGCTTAATCAAAATGAGTCCCAACCCCCCGGGACCGTCACTATATATAACTGAAAAATAGTTTACTTGGTGGGGGGCACTCTCAAATCTTCAGGGATCAGATCAAATATCCGTGTGCAAAAAAAAAAAAAAAAGCCGTGAAAAAACGTCATGGAAATGTTCGCAAAATTCGCACCAGAAACAAAACTGTACAGTCCTTTTGTCCTATGCAATTTTATGACTTGGCAATATTTTCTGAAATACAAACACCGTTAAAAAAGCATCCTCAGGAAATGAATGTTTCGCAAAGAAGTACGTAGGGGTGGGTGTCGTTTTTTTTCTTTTTTTTTTTTTCCTAAGGTGATGGTCACCAGCCCGCCTGGATACACATCTTCAAAACTGAGAAGGTGATAAAGTCGCAACTGGCCGTGACCGCATATCCTACATATTGTTTGACGACATCCAGCCCTTCTTGCAGAACACAGGTGGGAACCCTCTGTGTCATGCACAGATCTGTTGAGGCAAGGGCCACATCGTGGTTTCTGAGGCTGGAGTCAAGACGCGTCGAAAGAGAGCCCAACTCAACGTGTCAGCCGTGTGCCCCGCTCACACCATCGTGAGGCTCTCGCATCGCTCTCCCCACCCCTGCCCAGCCACCTGTGAGTAAGCATCTGCTGCCCTGCTGTGTTTCACTCTCTCCGCTCTACTCAAAGGCTCCCGTGGGTGTTCCCACCCCCAGAATCCCCAGTACCCCAGTCGCATCATGTGGGACGCATTGGCCCTTTCTCCGTATGACCTGAGTTGCCTCTGGATTTTGGACCACTTTAACTGTGAAAATATGAATCCGTGCCCTCACCTAAAGACCCCAGCGCC